GGGGGGGGGGGCGGGTGCGGGGGGGGGGGGGGGGGGGGGGGGGGGGGCGTGGCCTGCAGCCAGGGTCCCGCCTACCTGGGGTCTCCGGATGGGGCCGCACGCCAACACATGTAAACGGGAAAGCAGCTCCTTCCCTCTTTCTGTCGCTCAGCTTTGCGCCTGGGCCAGGCCTGTAAGTCCTGCCGCCACCGTGTGTCTGTGGCCAGGGCCGCTGCTGGCTGTCCGGGGACTTTCCAGCGGATTTGCATGTGGCCCTGCGTGCCTTTCTGTTTACTTCACTTCGGAGCAAGGGAGCGCCAGACGCCGGCTCTCTCAGACCACAGCGACGGGCATGCAGGCCCCACGGGGGCTGGCGGCCTGGCCACGGTCCCATGGGGGAGTCCCTGCTGGGGTCCCCGGCTGCCTGGACCGTGGGTGCTCCCAGCTGCTGCCTCTGGGCCTCGGGAGCGTGCAGCAGAGGGGGCAGATGGGCTGTGAAATCCAGGTCAGTGTAGGCCAGCCGCCTCCCCGTGAGCACCCCCCTCCTCTCAGCAAGCCCCCTGGTGCCGAGGCTGGAGCAAACCTCGGGCTTCCCGAGAGATGAGTCCCAGCGCTCCTCTGAGCTGTCTGGACCTTACCCCAGCCACGGTGGCCCCCATGATTTCCTGCTTAGCCTGGAGACAGCAGAGCCACTGGAGGTGGGGCATATGGACAGGCTATATTCCCACCTCTGTCCAAGGGCCTGATACTGCCCACTCCCAGGAACCTTGCTTCTCCCTGCTGCCCTCAAGAGGACAAGCCACTGGACAGCCTGGTCTGGGACACACAGCCAAGTCCCCTGAGTCCCTCCCAGCAGAGGGTGTGGTGGGCAGGAGGGCGAGGTTTCGGCCAACCTCTTGGGTCCCTCTATCTAGCCAGACCCCCATTGGGCACTGTGAGCACCTGGGGGGGGTGGTGGAGGTTGGTGCTCTGTGGCCGTGCCAGCTCTGGCTGACCGCTATCCCATGGAGGCCTGAGTCCAGAAGACTGGGAGGTTGGCATTACAGGGGACATCTGAAGGGGCAGGCAGGAGAGAGAGGAGGCAGTGGGGCAGGGTGGGCAGCAACAGATAGCTCCGGAGCACAGTGTGGGGACGCAAGGCTAGAGGGCCAGCCCCTCCCTGTGGACTTGGAGGACCACTGAGTGGCTCTGGAGTGTCTATGTGAGGGAGCTGGGCCGGGGCCCAGAGGAGAAGGTGCAGGAGCCAGCCACGGGCTTTACATATACTGGGTGGGCACAGAGTGTGTCTCTTGCCTGCTCCCACAGGGCGGGAGGCTCAGCATGGAACCACAGCGTGGGCCCAGCCTGCCACACCCCTCCCGCCCCACAGGAGCGAGACCAGCTGACCTCCTCGGGACCTGCTGAGTCCGGTTCTGACTGCCGAGCTGGGTGGTGGGTGACGAACCTCTGGTGTGGCAAGGGGGCTGCTGCTCGCTGGTCTCCAGGGTAGAGAACACTTGGGTGCCTGGTGTGTGGCCCTCCTCCTGCAGGGGGTGCCTGCCTCGAAGCTGGGGTGGCTACAGCTGACTGGGGGCCAGAGCAGGAGACCCTGACACTGGGAGAGGCCCTGGGGAGGTGGGCACTGCCCCTGCGAAGGAGCAGCTCCCCCTAGCCGACACGCATTCTGGAGGGCTCTAGCAGCTAGTGCTCCGGGGGCCCAGGCAGGCCCCTCTGCGGGTATATGTGTGTGTTGTCGCGGGGGCAATTCTCAGAGGCCAGGAGGAGTTCCCCTGTACCTTCTCCCTGCCATCTCAGCCCAAGTCCTGCGCTGGGGCATCAGAGCATAGCCCCTGTTTCCAGAGTAGGGGGCCTGCCCAAGCTCAGGAGTCAGGGCTCTCACCTCCTGCTCCTGCCTGAAAATGGCTTGACCTGTGTGATGAGGCTGAGTGCTGGGCCCCAGGTGCGTCACTGACAGGCTCTCTGGGGCGTGGCCGCTGTCCTTCCGCCCGGCAGACTGGAGCAGCACCCCCATTGCCACACCAGAGGTTCGTCACCCACCACCCAGCTCGGCAGTAGGCCGATCGCACCTACCCTGACAAGAAAGGGGCATGGGGCTTGATCCCACCATGGTGCCACACCACCAACCAGCCAAGGCCCCCGGACACTTGCCCTCCGACCCAGAGGACCCGACGGAGTGCCTTGAGGGCTCTCCACCTCTGGGGCGGAGTTGGTGGCTTTTCTACGGGGCTAGGCCTTGAAGGAAGGTGAAGTGCCTGCCGCCTGCCTACACCCAGGGCCTCCTCCCTCCCTCGGGGCTGTGCACACCTGGGGCGGGCGGGAGGGAGGGGAAGGGACTTTGCCCACACGGCCGGCTCCTGTCCTCCGGTCGGGCCTAGTGGCGGAGAGGCCAGGGTGCCCATCGTGGACCAGCCAGAGCAGGGCGTCTGACAGGGGCCGAGGCCACCATCTCTGAAGCCCCTCCCTCGTGGGCCCCCCCCCAACAGGAGACGCGGCCGGAGGACCCTAGACTCCTCTAGAGCATGAGCTCTGGCAAGAAGGCCCGCTACAACCGCTTCTCGGGGGGCCCTGCCGACCTTCCCGCCGCAGACGCCACAGCCGCGGTAAGAGCGGACCTCATGGCTGTGGGCTCCCCAGCTTCCAAAGCTGTCCCCTCCCCACCCCGGGGGCCCGTGGGAGGGCCGGGCGGGCGTATCGGTGATGTGTCCCTGTGTACATGCACGCGGGAACATCGGTAGGAGAGTGTGTCCGTGCGCACTCCTGTGTGTGTCCCCGTCTTCTCTGGGGCTCGGTGCCAAAGTCTCCTGCATTCTCCCTCCAGACCAGAATGGAAACGACCTTTGGGCCTGCCTTTTCTGCCGTCACCACCATCACGAAAGGTGAGCCTGCGAACCCAGGCCTCTCTGGGCTGTGCAGAACCTGGGGGCCCCAGATTCCTGCCAGCCAGGGTCCCGCAGGGGTGGCAGTTGGGGGGCCTGGTGCTGGAGAGTGGGCCGGAGTCCGCAGGCCGGTTCCTGGCTCCTCCTCCACACTGCCGCCCCCGCCCCTTCCCCAGGGCCTTCTCCATTCCCTGTTTGTGGGGCGGGGGCTGCCCAGACTTCGCCAGCACCCCCACCCACCTTCCCTTGTTCTGGTGAGCCCCAGGTCATCCCCGCCCCAGGCTCCTAGCAGCCCCCCAAAAGGCCAGGGCTGGGGAGCACAGGGGGCATGGGTGGGTGACAAGTACTCACAGGAATCCTTTCCACAGCCAGGTCCCACCACCGGCTGTGTGTTCAAGGCCCTCAGGAGCTAATGTTCCCGAGTGCCCGGGGGTGGGCTGTGTGGCCCCTCCTCGTGGGGCTGGGCAGACTTCAGTGTGTGTCCTGCTGGTTCCCTGCGCTACTCTTGCTCTGCAGCTGGGGTCTCCGCTTGCCCGAGCTTCCTCCGGCGGGTGGTGCCTGTGCTCACACCAGCTCCTTCGCCACGCGTGACCCAGCCAGACGCTCTGAAAGTGCCTTTTCTTCTTCGGTGTTCTCTTCTGAAAAAAAGAAGTGCATGTCCCCTCTCATCCCATCACCCAAGGCGCTCTCCTGAACGCCTCAGCCCTTTCCAGAAGCAGCCCAGCTCCCCAGCCTGGCGTCCGCAGCTCCCAGGCTCTCGCCCCACCATCCAGTCCCCCTGTGGAGGAGATGGGTCGGAGATGGGTCGAGCCGGGCGTGAACAATGGCTTCACCTGGCCCCTCACCTTACGGATAGGGAAACACAGCAGCTGCTCAAAGCCTGAATCGTGACCCCAGGTCTTTGGGGCTGCTTGTGATGTCTGGGTCTGGCTGGGACCTGAGGCTGGTGCCTGCAGGGCCTGTGAGGAAGGTTCTCGGGCTCCCACGAGGACCCCTCACCAACACCTTCGATGGAGTGCTCTGAGAAGGCCTGAGGCTGGTTTCAGGTTCTGGGCAGGGGAACAGGTGGAAGTTTCGTGGACCCCAACAGTGGGCTGTCTCCCTGTCCCCACCACACACCAGCCAAGGGGCCTCAGACCTCTCTGTCCCTCCGTTTTCCCCCTCGTGAGTCTCTCAGAGCCCTCCGCCCCCAGCAGGGTTTCCTCAAGGGCCAAAGCTCCCAGCAAGCGGCCACAGGTGTGATCACTCAGGTGCTGGCCTCGCGCCTCCGCCGGGCGCAGGGTGACCCCGGGATCGGGCTGGGTGTGGGAGCTGGCAGAGGCAGAGAGAAGAGCCCCCCACCCTCTGTTCAGCCTGCCCAGGGATCTGAGTCTCAGGGGCTGCTCCGTTCTTGGGCCCCCTGGGCTCTAGCTAGGGACTCAGGCCAGCTCATGCTCTTGACCTTGCCCTATATAGCCCCCTGGCTGGGGGCAGTGACTTCCCAGCTGCCCACCAGCCCAGCCCCAGCCTAGTAGCCCTCAGGTCGAGGAGGAGACGGTGGTAGTGCGTGGAGGCAGGGAGACCTCCTGGAGAGGACTAGCTCCATGTTGGGTTCAGTACCCCCCACCCCTGCTGGGCCCATCTGTCCAGGGGGCCCACCTCCCACCACGATGGGCTGGGCGTGCTCCCGTGGCTAACACTCATGGCATCCCCGCCCTCTTTTCTGATCACAGCTGATGGGACCAGCACGTACAAACAGCACCGCCGGACGCCGTCCTCCTCCAGCAGCCTCGCCTACTCCCCGAGGGATGAGGAGGACAGCATGGTAGGTCTGTGCCGTGACCACCTCTCCCCACAGCCTCCCGCTTTGTCATCCTTCTCAACGGCCAAGTCCCAGGAGTAGCTGAAGGGGAAGGCTCAGCTGGGAGGCAGGCCGCGAGCTAAGGTCTGTTGGGTATAGTAGGCTGGGGAGGCTGAGGGCTGGTGTGTCCGGACACCCTAAGGCCTCAGCACCCATGGCTGGACTGCATGGAACAAAGCGGCCAGAGAGGGCAGCTAGGCCAGGTTGTGCAGGGCCCACAGGCTGGAACCGTGGGAGCCACGGAAAGTTGTCACGAGATCAGGTTTTCGTGTTTAAAGCTGCCTCTACTGTTGAGTAGAGAATGAGCGGGTGGGCTGCTGGGTGGAGGTGGGAGGCCCAAGCAGGTGACTGGAGGGTGGGCGGCCCGAGTGGGGCATGGGAAGCCTATGGGAGAGCCAGGGTGAGGAAGGGAGTCGGGGCAGCATTGGGCTCGCTGTTAGTGCCCAGGCCATGTGGCAAGGGTCACCACAGCTGTTCTCTGCCTGTTGGGGCCCTGGGCCCACTGGGGGAGGGGAGGACCTGCCCTGGGCCAGGGCTGGTTCAGGCCCTCCCACCACTCACCTGTCCCTGGCCTTGCTTTCTCCTTTCCCTCCGTGGGACCTCACCGGTGTCTGCCCGACGGACTCCAGCTGGTTCTCCTTCCCTCCCAGCCCCCAGACCCCAAGTCTTCACATGCTGGGCTGCCAGGCCTTATTTCCAATTTAACATGAGCAAAAACCGTTTTTAGTTATTTGAGCGTGCTGTGTGCTAGGCAGTGCCCAAGGCCTTCTCGAAGCACGAAGCAGATAGAGCTCCCTCTGGTTCTGCCTGCCTCAGTGCGCATGACACGCGACTCACCTGCGGCTGGCGGGGAGGCCGTTTCCCCAGCCTCCCGGAGAGGTCTGGGCAGGGGCAGCCGGGCCCGTGGCTGGGTGTGGAGGCAGGAGGTCTGTGGTTCGTGAAGGAGGCTTCTGAGTGGGAGAAGAGGACGGTGGGGAGCAGCTGCTCTTACAGGATCTCTCCTGGGGGTTCTAGGCCGAGAAGGGGGAGGGAACAGTCACCCCTACCCGGTGCTCCCCCAGACCCTCCCCCTCAGTGGCTCAGGCAGAGACAGGACCCGTGGCCCTGCTTCCTGCCTCCAGCATCTCGGCCAGGGTTCGGGGGGCAGGGGGGTGTCCCTGCCTTCCCTGGGAGCCTCCTCAGCCTGGCCTAGTGCACCTGGCTAGGGAAGCCAGATGGGCAGCCAAGCCCCAGGGGACCCAGAGCCCTGAAGCCTCCGCCAGCCATCCCTTTCTGTAGCCATCCAGGCGGTGAGGCCAGCCCTGGCCCGGCTGATGGAGGCGCCCCGTGTGCAGCCCACACTCCCTCACGGGAAGCAGGAAGCAGGCCAGGCGAGCGTGTCCTCCTGGAATTGAATAGCAGGAAGTCTCTCCATTTACACAAAGAAAGTTGGCAGACGTGCGCGGGTGGCCCAGCAACAGGGCCGGGACCGCCGGGCAGGCCCGGGGCTTGGGCACCACACGGGCTTCCCGGGCACACGCAGTGGCCCTGCGGGGCCAAGGGAGCGCCTGCCAGGACCGGGGGGCTCTGCCCTGCCCGCTGGCTGACGGGCCGCCTGCCCCTGTGCCCCGCAGCCCCCCATCAGCACGCCGCGCCGCTCCGACTCGGCCATCTCCGTCCGCTCTCTGCACTCCGAGTCCAGCATGTCCCTGCGCTCCACGTTCTCGCTGCCCGAGGAGGAGGAGGAACCGGTAGGTGTGTCCACCACAGCAGGGTGGCCCCTCGTGACGCGGTGGGTGGCGGTGGCAGCGGCACCGTCCCCCTGGGGCCTGGTGGGAGGGGGTGATCTGGCCTAGCCTCCAGGCCCATTCTTCCCACTTCCCAGCCCTGGGGCTACCCAAGACCGGCTCTGGGGAGTGAGGGTGGACCCCGCGTGGGGTCCCCTCTCTGTTCCCATCGCAGGTGGACAGGACTTGCTGATAACCCAGGGCCAGGGCCCTCGAGCTCAGGCCCAGCCCCAGGCCTCAGCAGGCCCTTGTTGGGCCCCCCTGTTCCTTCCCACACCTGCGTTTGCTCACCCTGCCCGGCCCGGTTCTAGGAGCCGCTGGTATTTGCTGAGCAGCCCTCGGTGAAGCTCTGCTGTCAGCTTTGCTGTGGTGTGTTCAAGGACCCCGTGATCACCACATGCGGGGTAAGGCTGCCCTGGCCCGCCCGGCCCGGACCTTCCTGACCTGTCACCATCACGAGGCTCCAGCAGGACGCCGGCCCCTCTGCTGTGCAGCCTTGGCCTCCGTTCCAGGCCTGGTGTGGCCGCCCAGCAGGTTCCCCTGCAGGCGACAGACCGGGGGGGTGGGGGGCGACTCTGTGGTCATGGCCCAAGCCCACCCGTTGTCTCCACAGCACACGTTCTGTCGTCGATGCGCTCTGAAGTCAGGTAAGGCCCTTCCAGACCTGGGCCCCACCACTTCATTACCCAGCTTGGGGCGGGGGGGGTCCCTCCAGGGAGGTCCCGGCCCACACCCAGCACCGATGGGGCCCCTGGTACATGCTGGCTTGTCCCGAGTCCAGCCCCCAGCAGCAGCCCTGGGTGCATGTGGGCCGGGCTCCACGCATGGGCGGGCAGAGCAGCGAGACCCACAGCTCAGGGGCCCCGGGCTCAGTGGCTGCTGTCTCTGGCAAGAGCCGTCCACCTCACCGTCCCAAGCCTTGGCACCCCAGGCCCGGGCTGGCTCCCTCTGCCCTGTCCCAGACTCCTGAGTCAGCCGAGAGGCAGCGTCCCCTCCTGCTCGCCCAGTGGTCACGCTTGGTGGCCCAGCTGTGCACTCCTCCTGTTCCAGGCACCTCAGTGGGGCAGGTAGACCAGGAGTTGGGGGAGGGGTCTCCCCGGACAGAGGTCAGTCCACCTAGCATTGTTCCAGGCCTGCCACATCAGGACTCAGTTTCCCACCAGCTGCTCACCGGGGGAGACAACCCCCCAGCACAGACTGGCGCAGCAGAGGGCCAGGGCCGGGGGGAGGGGCCAGGGCAGAGGGTGGGGTCAGCGTGTCCTCCCCTGCAGAGAAGTGCCCCGTGGACCACGCCAAGCTCACGGTGGTGGTGAACAACATCGCGGTCGCTGAACAGATCGGGGAGCTCTTCATCCACTGCAGGCACGGCTGCCGGGCGGCAGGGAGTGGGAAGCCCCCCGTCTTCGAGGTGGACCCCCGAGGGTGCCCCTTCACAATCAAGCTCAGCGCTCGCAAGTAAGTGATCCCCTCGGCCCTCATCTCCACTGCCCAGGGGTGCAGAGCGTGGGCCACTGGGCATTGAACCCCCCAAGCCCACCCCCGCACCCTGCCCCACCAGGGACCACGAGGGCAGCTGCGACTACCGGCCTGTGCGATGCCCGAACAACCCCAGCTGCCCGCCCCTCCTCAAGATGAACCTGGAGGCCCACCTGAAGGAGTGTGAGCACATCAAGTGTCCCCACTCCAAGTACGGGTGAGTGGGCGGGGCGGGCTGTGGGGGGGCCGCCTGGGGCTGGGGGCCGGGAGGCAGGACGGTGGGGGGTGGGGGTGGGGGGCTGGGCTGGCATTCACAGTCCCTCCTTCAGCAAACCTTTGTTGAGATCTGCTTGTGTGCTGAGCGCTGGGGAGACAGCCAGGGTCCCAGGGAGACGGACCCTAGCGGGAGCCACACCACCATCCCTGTAATCACAAACTGAGGTACAGGTGCGGTGAAGGAGAGCGTGAGCACCCTCGGAGCACAGAGGGCTCGAAGTGGTCGGGAAGCCTGCGGCAGGGGCAGGGATGGCCCTGAGGACTCACACATGTGTGCGTGGGAGCCCAGGAGCTGCGTGGGGGCCAACACGGGTGGAGAGGAGAGCCGAGTGTGGCGGGCCAGAGAAGAGGCAGGTCTGGGAGGCTGGCAGAGGCTGTGGGCGAGCCCTTGAAGAGCTCTGATTAGTAGCAAAGTGACATTTCCTTGCAAAGAGGCCTGCGAGGTGCTGAGCGGTTGCAGGACTCATGGGCAGGCAGCCAGCGTGGGGAGGACTGTGGCAGAGAAGTGGGACTCGACAGACATTCTGGGGTATGGGGAGCCGGGGAGGGCCCCACCAGGCAGGCCGGTGAGTGGGTGGGCAGGGCAGCCATCCTGTCCCTCCAGGTGCACCTTCATCGGGAACCAGGACACCTATGAGACGCACCTGGAGACTTGCCGCTTTGAGGGCCTGAAAGAGTTCTTGCAGCAGACAGACGACCGCTTCCACGAGATGCACGTGGCGCTGGCCCAGAAAGACCAGGAGATCGCCTTCCTGCGCTCCATGTTGGGCAAGCTCTCCGAGAAGATTGACCAGCTGGAGAAGAGCCTGGAGCTCAAGTTCGGTGAGGCCAGGTCCCAGAGAGGCGGGGTTGCAGCCCCTCCTCCTGCTCCCTGACGCCGTCTTTCTGGCCACTCAGATGTCCTAGATGAAAACCAGAGCAAGCTCAGCGAAGACCTCATGGAATTCCGGAGGGACGCGTCCATGCTGAACGTGAGCACGGACGATGGCCATGCGTGGGGGCGTGGCCACGTGTGGGGGCGGGGTTCCCGCCGGGGCAGGGCCAAGTGCATGGGGCGGGTCAGCAGGGCCACAGGACCGCCCCTCGGCTTGGGCCCTGACAGGAGTTAGGTGTGTTTGCTGGGGAAGGCTGCTGCTGCACCGCCTGTGCCCCGGCGCTGGGCCCGGCCTGGGGGCAGGTGGCCCACCGAGCCACAGCCAGCATGCCCTTCGCTCTTGGCCTTGGCAGGATGAGCTGTCCCACATCAACGCGCGGCTGAACATGGGCATCCTAGGATGTGAGTACAGGCCTGGGGCTGCTCCCTCCACTGCCCCTGAGCGCTGCCAGGCCCTCACTGGCTCCTCGCGTCTCCGCAGCCTATGATCCGCAGCAGATCTTCAAGTGCAAAGGAACCTTCGTGGGCCACCAGGGCCCAGTGTGGTGTCTCTGTGTCTACTCCATGGGGGACCTGCTGTTCAGCGGCTCCTCTGACAAGACCATCAAGGTGAGTGGGGTCTTGCCTCGAGGGTAGGCATGCGTGCAACCCCTGCCAGCTCTGGCCTGCCTGTGGGCAGGGCTTTCCCTAAGCACACCTACCATCCCCATTCCCACCGTGCTGCCCCCTGGCATGGGGCTGACCCCGCTGGGACCCACCCGCATGCTGGTCTCTGCAGGTGTGGGACACATGTACCACCTACAAGTGTCAGAAGACCCTCGAGGGCCACGACGGCATCGTGTTGGCCCTGTGCATCCAAGGGTGAGTGTGGCCACGGTGCTCAGGCAGAGCCAGGGATGGGAGACCCCGTGCTGCCACTGCCTGGGCCAGGAGCCGAGCCTGTGTGGTCACGTGTGTCCTCATGGGGCTGTGTCTACCCCTCCTGTGGGGCACCCTCACCTTCGAGCAAGGCTGGTGGCGCATGGCCCCTCCCACTCTCTAGAAGTACGTTTAGGAGGTGTAGCCCCAGCCCTGGGGTGCCTCGGGCAGCAGAGGACAGAGCAGGGGCAGGAGCTCAGCAACCACTCACCGGCCTGTAGCCAGAGCCTTGGGCGCAGCTCAGGAATAGGACCACCGCTACCCCCTCACCCCCAGAATAGCCCCTTCTAGACCTTCCCTCCTGTCTCCTGTCATGAGGCTCTGTGTTATGGACACGAGCGTGAGAGATGAAGAGACAGAGCGCAGCGGCTTGCCGGCCAACAGCGCTGACAGGGGTCATTACCTCCCAGCCCAGTCCGACACTTGCCAGGCAGGCGGTAGGGGGCCAGGCTTCTACTCCCAAGGTTCCCTCGCTGAGACAGGAAATCCGAGGGAGCGGGAGCAGCCCTGGCGCTGCCCTCACCCCGCGGCTCCGCTCCCACAGGTGCAAGCTGTACAGCGGCTCTGCGGACTGTACCATCATCGTGAGTGGGGCTGCGGCGGGCGGGTGCGCTCTGGGGAGCCAGGCCTGCCGCCTCGCTGGGGCCTGAGGCTTTCTGTCCTCCTTGCCAGGTGTGGGACATCCAGAACCTGCAGAAGGTGAACACCATCCGGGCCCACGACAACCCGGTGTGCACGCTGGTCTCCTCACACAACATGCTCTTCAGCGGCTCCCTGAAGGCCATCAAGGTCGGGCAGGGCACCGTGTGTCTGCGCGCGGGGCATCGGGGGGCTGCCTGCCCCCCTGCCCATGCTCATGGCCGCCCCCGCAGGTCTGGGACATCGTGGGCACTGAACTGAAGCTAAAGAAGGAGCTCACAGGGCTCAACCACTGGGTCCGGGCCCTGGTGGCCGCCCAGAGCTACCTGTACAGCGGCTCCTACCAGACAATCAAGGTGGGCCCGTGTGCCCTTTCCGGTGCCGGGACCACCCAGACCTGCCCCCGGGGGGCTCCTCCTCCACTGTCTCCTCGATGCTGGGGCAGGGAGGCCCTCATACCCTTCCCAGGGGATGGGTGGGCTGCTCCCAGTGCCCAAAGCCTTGGAGGCCCTGGGACCGAGGTGCCTGGCCTAGGACCAAGTGGCCTGAGCTTGTCCGCAGATCTGGGACATCCGGACCCTCGACTGCATCCATGTCCTGCAGACCTCTGGCGGCAGCGTCTACTCTATTGCAGTGACGAATCACCACATCGTCTGTGGCACCTACGAGAACCTCATCCATGTAAGGCGGACGCCCAGGCCTGGCCTCCCCCTGGGCCCCTGGGCCCCCAAGCCCGTGGCCCTGACCTGCCTGCACCACTCCCGCAGGTGTGGGACATCGAGTCCAAGGAGCAGGTGCGGACCCTGACAGGCCACGTGGGCACTGTGTACGCTCTGGCGGTCATCTCCACACCAGACCAGACCAAAGTCTTCAGCGCGTCCTATGACCGCTCGCTCAGGGTGCGTGCTGGCCTGGCGGGCGGCGGCTGGGGCGGTGGCGGCTGGGGCGGGTGTCTGGGCCCAGCTGGGCGCTCACGCTCCACACGCCCCCAGGTCTGGAGTATGGACAACATGATCTGCACGCAGACCTTGCTGCGTCACCAAGGCAGCGTGACTGCACTGGCCGTGTCGCGGGGCCGGCTCTTCTCGGGCGCTGTGGATAGCACTGTGAAGGTCAGGGCCTGGGCTCAGGCCTTCCCGGGGCGCTGTGCGCCGGGGGCAGGGGGGTGGGGGCAGAGGAACAGAAGCCCCAGGCAGCTGACACTGGGAGGGCAGGTGTGTGTGGCGGGGGGTGGGGTCACAGCAGCGTGGCCAAAGGATCACCTGAACCAGAGCCCTTCCTCTGCAGGTCTGGACGTGCTGACAGAATGCAGGGCCATCTTGGCTTCCTCCTAACCTCCCAGGCCGGTCCCCACCAGGCTGACCATGGGAGGGGTCTCGGGGAGGCGGGTGTGTCGCCTGCCCTGTGCCCGGCGAGCCTCCCTCCACTTGGCCTTGTGATCGTCGCAGCCAGGACAGTGCCCAGCCGCTCTCTCTGGGTGCCAGGTGCGATGCTCGCCCGGCCCACACCCCATCCCCACCCCAGGTGGACCGTGGGCCTTTTTACTCACCTTTTCTACTGTTTTTAGACTGTATATAGATTTGATTACTTCCTGATTGAAATAAAAGCTGCACAGACTGTGGCTGTGAGTGGGGACAGTCTGGGGGGTGACGGAGAGGCCACCCGAGAAGGCTGGTGCACCCAGGCACCAGCAGCTGGTGGGAGGGAGGCTGGGGAGGGGTCCCAAAAGGGCTCCTCTTGTCAGCCCCGGGGTGTGGCCCTCTTGGTGACTCCTCACTGCCGGGAACAAGCTAGACCCCCATTCTCCCCAACACACATCCCCAAGAAGTGAGCCAGGCAGCTCTGTTTTCTGCTGTTTATTGACAGCTGACAGTAGCTCCCTGCTAGGAACCCCCCCTCCCCGCTTGCTGGAGCCCCAGCCTGGGCCGCCCGCTGAAGAGAGGCCGGGCGCACCCACCTGGGGAATTACCAGGGCATGACAGTTGGAAGGGGCCCCACACGCCCAGATGCCACCTTGGTTGATCCCCCTCTGCCCGCCCACGTCACAACCGCTGGTTTTTGGTGTTTTTTTTTTTTTTGTTTTGTTTTGTTTTTTTTTAAGAAATGTCAAAGTGGTGCCCAACACACGTGGATCAGCAAACACAATAGAGGAGGCCAGTCAGTACTTTTTTGGAAAGAGGGGAGAGAGAAAAGAGAGGGCAAGAACGACCACATGACATAGCCTGGGACCATGAGCAGAAGCATCGGAGCGACTTTGGATGGGGGGGCCCTGGGGAGGGAGGGTCAGGCACACCATCACACGCGCCACACGCACTCTGGCATGCACGCCCTGTGCCCACCGCTCTCACCTGCCTGGCGTGCCCACGTTGCACGCACAGCTCCCCCAAAGCCCAGGCGCACCTCCCACCAGCACCCTGGAAGGGCAGGGAGCCCTCCCCACCAGCTCCTCGGTGTGGAGGACACAGCCCAGCAGCAAGCAAGGCACATCCTTCAAGTTCTTCAGACGCAGAGAAGTTAGGAGAGAGGGAGGATGGGGAGGCCCTAGCGGAGCATGGACCCTGCCGGACCCCAGCCTCCTGTTTTGTGCTACTGGGCCAGGGTTCCTGGACAGAGGGAGGGAAGGATAGACAGACAGATGACCAGGGCCTCTAACAGCTTTTGTCTTGAGCTAGACTTCAGTGTCCTTACAGTTGGTAAATGGTTTTCTATAGAATCAATAATATTTTTTTCTTTAAATATATATTTGTTAAAGTTATACCTTTTAGTTTCTCTGGGGAAATCTGCCTCAGCTCATTCCCAATAAATTAATACTCTCGATAGCTTATATTCTGGGGGGATACAGGGTGCAGGGGCGCAACCCCAGCCCCAGCCCCTTGTGCTGCGCTGGAGCGGCTGGCAGAGGTCCCCACTGGGCAGTTCTGTGCTGGGCATAGGCCTGTGCTCTGCCACAGATCGGGGAGGGGCCAGAGCGGCTGCCTGCCTCCCGCTGCCTGGCGGGGCAGGCCCAGCCTGGGCTCAGGGCAGGGGGCCGGGCCGCCCCTCCTCCACCCCCAGCAGGAGAAGCCTGGCCTGGGCGGGCGGGTAGCCCAGCAGTTATTGCACGGGGAGCAGCAGACAGGAGCGGGCACCCGCCGGGCAGCAGCGTTCACCCAGAGCCCTTGGGTCCCCTGGCCAGGCCCGGCCCAGGCGCAGGCGCAGGCGTTGTGCTTGTGCCGGGACGGGCAGCATGGGCCCGACCCCGCCCGCCTGGTCCCCGTCGGCTGGCCGCCCTGCCCGCTCGCGCTGCGCCCAGAGGTGCCCACCCTGAGGTAAAGGTCAGTGTGCGGGCCGGGACCCGGGCGGCGCGGGCGGTCCCGACGTGAGCGGCCGCGTCACTCCAGCATGGCGTCCAGCTGGTCGGCCAGGTCGTCGAACATGCTGCCGATGTCGTCCAGTATGCTGCCGGTGCTCTTCTCCTCCGCCGACGAGGGGCTGCGGGCGGGCGCGGCGTCAGCGGGCGGCGCGGGCGCTGAACACCCCGCCGGGGCCCCGCCCGCGGCCCCTCTGCCCGGCCCCCGCTACCCCCTGGCCCCCGGCACGGCTCCACTCCGCCCCGCACGGCTCGATCCCCGCCCTCTCCCCGCCGCCGCCGCCCCGAGTCGCTCCCCAGACGACTCGACCCCGTCCGCGCCTCACACAGGGGGAGCCCCACCCGGCCATCCCAGGCCCTGCCTCGCACGACGCGACCCCGCCCCGCTGCCCCGGGCCCCGCCCCTCACGGCTCGACTCCCCCCAGCCCCACACTGCTGGACCGCGTCCCGCTGCCCCGCTCCACAGGCCGCGACTCCGCCCCTCACGACTCGTCCCCGCCCCCGCCGCCCCAGGCCCCGCCCCGCGCGCCCCGCCCCGATGCCCCCGCCGCCCCGCCCTCGACTCCAGCCCGCGCGCCGCAGCCTCGGAGCGCGCGCGGGTGAGGGTGGCGCGCAGATCCCGCACCCCGCCGGACCGGCCCGCCGGACCGGCCCCCCGGCCCCGCACCTACCGTGCGCCCTGCGCGTCCTCCTGCCGGATCTTCTCTTCCACGGCTTGCAGCGCCGCCGCCAGGCACGCGCTCGTCTCCTCCAGCTTCTGGCGGGCGCTGTCTCCCGGCGAGGCGCCGTCGGGCGCGGCAGGGGGCCCGGCGGCGGCAGCGGCGGCGGCGGCGGCGGCGGCGGCGCGCGGAGGCTTGGCGGGCACGTGCAGCGCGGGCGCGCCGGGGGACGGGGGCTTGGCGGGGCTGGCGCTCAGCGAGGGCGGCGTGCTGGCCGGCTTGGCGAGGGCGGTGGGCGGCTGGCGAGCCGGCGAGGGCGCGGGGGACGGGCTGGCACTGCCCGACTGCAACCCCGCGGCGGCCTTGGCCGGCTTGGGCGCCGTGGGCGGCGGCGGCGGCTTGGGAGACACAGGCGGCGGCGTGCCGTGGGCGCGCTTCACCTCTGTGGGGAGGAGGAGACTCGCACCGGGGTGGGACGGAGGGAGGTGGCGCTACGCGCGCGCGGCGCGTCCCGCCAGGAGCCTTGCGGCAGCGGCCCTCCTGGTCCCCCGACCCGGAGAAGCCGGCCGCTGCCCCTCCGACCGTTGGCTCCCCGCAGCCGCCAGGCGGCGCGCTTCGCTATGCATACCTGCCCGCGCCACCGCTTCCAGACACCCCCCACCCCCGTCCGCCCCCTACCCTGGACCCCCATCAGGTGTGGCCTGCCTCAATCACTGGCCCTCGGGTTGCTTGAATACCACAGGGCCTCTGCACCTCTGATCCTTCTGCTTGGAAGCCCGCTCCCTCCCTCTCCTGCTGGGGTCGCTCTCCAGCCTGGTCAGAGATCTCCGTGACCCAGCATGGTGCACCTGACCTCCCTCCACAGGTGCGGTTGTCCACGGGTTTCTGTGCCTCCTTCACTGAGCAAAGGGATGAACATCCACCCTCCTCCCAGTTCTGGGCCACAAGAGTTGTGCAGCGGGTGAGTGGATGAGAGGGTCTGAGGACACTTTTCCACCCCATTCCACCTGGCCTTGGCTCAAATCCAAGAAGAGGAAACCCCCTCAGATCATGCAGTGGCGAGGTGGGGAGGGGAGGGGCCCCTCCCCCTCCCCAGCTGGCTCCTTCACCTACCTGGGCTGCCAGGACCTGGCAGCGGCACCTTCTTGGAGGCAGGTGTCGGTGAGCCCTGGATCTTGGGCACAGGCTGAGCCAGCACGGGTTTGGGAGAGACTGGCGGCTTCACTGGCTTCCGGGTATCGGTGTCAGGTGGGGGCAGGGGGGGAAGGTGCAACAGGTCGGAGGGCGGGGGTTCTGCAGGTGGGGGTGGTGGGGGCAGCTCAGGGGGCCCAGCCTGCTCCGAGGTGGGTCTGCGGCGCACGGTGCCTGTGCCGTTCTGGTACACGGACAGTGGCGGGGGCGGCTCGGGACCTGCCTCCCGCTCCTTGGCCTTGGGCCGGCGCTTGACCGTGTCAGACTCAGTCAGGATGAACTTGACGTTCTCCTGCTGGCTCTGCTTGGCTCGGATGCGCCTTTTGAGCGTGGCACTGGCCTCCACCCGGGCCAGGGGCGGGCCCTCCGCACTCGCCTCACCCTTGGCTGGGCCTCGAGACCGCTGCCGGGTGGCACCGTCCTCCACAAAGTGGCCGTGATCTGCGGGCCCCCCTGACTCCACAGGCCCCCGGCGGGCAGTGGCCAGAAGTCCCGTCACGGGCCCGCTGAGCGTGCGACGCCGGTTCACTACCTCACCGTCAGGCCCGATGGCTTCCTTATGCTTCACGGAGGCCAGCACTGTGGCAACCCGGCCTGGCTCCGGGCTGGCAGGGCGAGGTGTGGGGTGGCCCTCCGGGGGCCTGCGGGCCGCACGGCCCCCGCCCCCAATGGAGGACAGCTCTAGCATGGCTGCGATGCTCTTCACGCTGCCGGCACTGCCTGTGTCCACGCTGCCGGCCAGATCACTAGCCCGCCGGCGCTGTGCCCGCACCCCCAGCCGGCCCTCCTCGGTCCCAGCCCCCTCTGTCTCAGCATCCGGGGCCGACTCATCGGCCAGGTTGGCGCTGGCCATGGCTGAGCTGGAACGCTTGGGCGGGGGCGGGGGCGGCCCCTTCTTCCGGGGCCGCACGGCAAAGGACTGGCTGCGGTTGACGTTCTTGTCGGTGCCGGCGGGCGCTCGCACCGAGTGGCTCCGGCCCACACGCCGCTGGACTGTGGCATAGGGCCCTGCGGCCGCTGGCACCAACAGCTCGTCCCGCTCCGGCTCGCTGTCGGATGCTGCATAGCGGTTCAGGCTGTGGGCGCGCTTCTTGGGCCGCCCTGGCTCCGCGTCGGCCTCCGGAGGCAGGCACAGCGTGGGCACGGGCGGGGGCACAGCCGCAGGGGCAGGCCCGGGAG